GAAACTGCATTATATATATATAATTCAGCAATTTCTTAATTTCTTAATTGTATAATTGGTTTTAGTTTATTTTTGTTTTTTTATTTTAACAAATAAAATTTTATATTCCTTCATTGCATATAGACATACGACATGATTTAGTTGTTTTTATATAAAAAATAAATTTAAATCCACAGAAGCGTAAGAGTTTTCATGTCAGAAAGATTGTTTCCTCAAATAAAAAGGGACACTCATTAAATAAATTTTCAGGGAAAAGTCTCAACCAACACCAATTGTAGCTATCTCTTTGAAGGTAGCCTGTTGGTAGGTGTCGTTCGTTCGCATAACGTCAATAAAAAAACCTGCGATTCCGGGTTTACAGCTATGCATATGCGTTTCTGATGGTGGTGGGTGTTTTTTGACTTATTGTCGTACTCCCAAGAGCCATTGGGACTTTCTAACTTGCAGAATACAAGCTTGATGAAGGTTGCACCAGCCTCAATATACATCTTTCCAATTGCCATGTTTTTTTTAACTCGCCCCAGTGGCTGTGTATAATTATGTGTACAATTAATTCCACGTTGAAATTGGTGAATTTTGGTCAAAATTTTGAGAAATTATAAATGAGATGTAACCTCGTACCTACCCCAAAACATTAGGCTATGACTACCTAGTCGACAAATATTTATTCCAAAGCATGTTCAGCCTGAAAACTGGTTTTATTTAAATGAATATTGTTTAATATCTTTTGCAAAGATTAATGGGATCGGAGCATGGGAATAATACGGTATCAATGCAATGGTAAAACAACGCAAAGCGTCTATTTTCAGAGAATTAGTGGGTGGAAATGTCGATTTGTGTTTCAATTGATACATGATACTGCCGCTGACATAATTGGCAGAAACGATAAGTGGGCTCGGTTAACCGGGTGTTGACTCGGAATTCGAAATGCTGCCCCTTTTCACCTGTAAATTCGTCGTCGGGATTAAAAAGTTAGAATTAAAAAAAAAAATAAATCACCACTCTGCATTTTCAATTGTTCAATTTATTCTATGATCCGGTTGGATGTGTGATGTAACAGAGTGGTTTTGGCGAAGTTTGTTGTCGCCTTATTTTGAAATTAACTATCAGTCTTTTGGCATTTACTGGCGACTAAGGGATACAAAACAGTTTGCACACTCTCGAAAGCTCCCTAAGGAAAGTTTACCCATGTAACCTTATAGGGTGCTATCAAGCAATACAAAATACATCCTTTATTTACGTCGTTTACCTTCTCTTCGATGGATTTAAACTGGTTCAACAAGTGAAAGACTAGCTGGTACATTGTGGTAAGTTAATTAGTAACGATGCTACAAAATTACCCTTTGCAAGCGTTAACGTAAAATAACCCGTTTCTTTGCTAAAGAACATCAACATGTTAAAATTATTTTTGATGAGTTAATTCGTATAAGCTTAAGAATGTTTTTGTAAATAAACTAATATAAACAAGATTTGTAAAGTTTTTCAATTGGTGGGTGTAGGTTTATGTTTCTGTTCAACATTTGTTCAACATCTTTTCATGTTACATATTCTTGCACATAAAGTACAATAGATTCAATAAAAAAACTTACACCTAGGTGTCGAAAATATACTCCCCCGAAAAAATAACCGACATGAAACCATCCATGTTTTACTTTAGTGTGTTGTACAAAATCGCTAATTCAAAAAATACACTACTCCAAAAAAAGACGAATATACCTCCCAAAACACAAATTCTTCAATAAACAACAAACAGGGGATTAGTAAACGCAGATACATCCATAAGGGCTCTTACCGTGGACAGTGAAAAACAAAAAAGACGTCTAGCATAATAGATTAAACTATAGCCCTATTCTCTCGAGTATAAACAAACATTAAAGAAAAACTAATAAAAAACATAAAGAAAAAACGAACAATGGACTGATTCTCACTGATGCATAAAACGCTACAGTTACCATGACCAAAAAAGTCTACATTAAAAAAAAAATAGGTAGGATTCATAAATACTATTTACAAAAATGCCAATAACAAATGGAAAACAAGTGCCACTATTCATTATCCCGACAAAATCATACAAATACATAAACATGAATCCTAGACTACCAAACTTGACAACCTCTTTAATGTTGAGGTCTTGATGACCTCTGACATACCTATTAGACCATAGAAATTTCATTATTATGCCCAATTTTAGTGGTTCCAACTTGTTAACAGCTACAATAGTTATAGCTCGTCAACGGTTACAATGTTACATCCCAAAATACTTCCTTCCTGCGGGAAAATATATAGTAGCGTCAAAGTTTGTTGGAAGATGTATGTCTGTTCTGCTTCTTTGCAGAGTCTGCACCGTGTTGGATTATACCAATGTTCTTCAAATACCCATTTAAGAAACTTCCTGTTATGAATCATGTTAGGAATGGACGTTTTTCCAGCTTCCTTTAATGCATTTACACCGAATATTACATTTTACATCTCAAGCTTGTTTAAGGTATACTAAAATCCAACTTAAAAATTCTGTATCATTAACTCAACTTCATGACAATCTTTACAATTGTCAATCGTATCCTTTGCATAACGAACTTTTATCCATCTATTCCGTCAATGAGAGTGCAGACAACCAATACTGCCAACAATCACTTCTGAACAAAACTCTATTAAATTCATTATGTAAAGATACACCATAAAAGCTGGCAGGGGGGTTTATGTTGGGCAACCCAACATATTCATTTATGCACAAGTATCCTGAAGATCAAGACTGAATTTGCCACCATTTTCTTAAAAGTAATTTAACTCTGTTTTCAATGCTTTTTACGATTTCACAAAAACGAATAGGTCAAGAGCTGCTAGTAGATTTATAACGGAAGATATTTGAAAAAAAAACGCAATAAAATGTTTCATATCTGCAAAAGGGTTGAGAATCGGATCATGGTTTATATGTTGGCTTTTATTCTATTTTGGGCGTGGAATGTGCTGGGGAATGCATCGAGTCGGAGAGAAAACCCTTTATGTAACGATAAAACCTGTGACAATAAAGTATACTAATTTTTGAGAATTGACATAAAACTGTCTGTGGCAAGGATGGATTTTGAACCCCTAGAAATCGGAATGGCACCCACTGAGTTCGAACCCGTCCATTTTCGGCGGAAAGAAAGAAGTAAATTGTAATCCTATCGGCTATATAGACGGTTTTATCTCAATTATCGCTCGCGCATTTTCCATCTTTCATTTTATACTATTACAAGGATAAGTGCTTTCATTTATATTCAACCCTTCCACACGTGGGTATATGGTTCTAATTCAATATTACTTACATGACTTCGTTTTACACATTTATGTTGTTGCAAAAAATAGCCCAACCCTTAAAACTAATATAAAATATACACCATATTATTTAAAAATAATTGGGAAGCCGGCAGAGTGTTTATGTACTCTATGTTCTCCAATCATTCACGCTAATAGATAAATTCGTAGAGAGTAAACTCAGTCAGGTCATATGTTCAAATAAGTTAGGATAGCCGCCGTGGATTTAATATTACTCAGTCACTAACTGCCTATCACACTGCCTCCATTGATACATAATACCTACCTAAATCGATAGGTCCATTTTGTATTTTATCCTCCTTCAAAGTCCCGTCCATACACACACATGGATTTGCGCTTATAAATACAATCACAATTAGGGTAGTCACCGGGTTTTTGTACATCTCCAGTGCCTTGTTCATTCGAAACATTAGCATATTTCACAGTACAACCGAAACCGATATTTAAAAAAAAAAATTGAGCATAATTTAAGGCATTCAGTTTTTTATTTCATTTAAAAAATAAAACAAATCTTTTTAAACACTAGGAAATGCCTCCGAAGACAAAACCCGGCCATTCGTATTTAGTTAGTTATTTCAAACTACATATTCTTTTTTTATAGTTTTGTTAATTACAACTTACTTATGTTAATATAAACATAATTAAACGCGATAAAAAAATTATGTGTTATAATAAAACTGTTTTAATTATGTTTGTTTGAAAGAATATTCACCAAACCATCGGAAAATCATTTAATGATAGATATATTTAACTGGCAATTTATCCTATCACTAAAACATATTCCCGAGTTTTGGTGAATTTTCTGTCAAGCCATCATAATTAAATAACTGTTATTAAAACTCATGAATTTCTTATGTTGTTTAATTTGGTTTTCATTAAAATAAGTATGTTCCAATTAAAATAACAAATACATTGAGTTTACAAGTTCCCGGTTTTTTGAGTATATATTAAAATGAATTTAATTAATTTATAATGAGGTTGAAATGGCCCTGATGATGTGGTAATGTACATTGAAAGCTATGGATACTACAGTAAAGAGATGAGTTGACCTCCTTCCAATCCTCTTCAGCATAATTAAAAAACGTTATTAAATAAAGAACGATTTATGGATTGAATTGTTACTAGATCGTTTGAAATTAAACCATGTAATTAGATTTTCCTTTTGTATTTGTGATTGCGGATGACGTATATATTCTAAATTATTAAATTATAAATAATGAATTGCTTGGCACAGTTATAAAATCTGCTTAAAACGGTCGGATTGAACCGAGTACAATCACCCAAAGATGTCGGAAACAACTGCTAGGTTGCGGAGAAACTACGGAGAAACCAGTTATGCATCAGGCGTCGGAAGGAATCTGTTACCGTCTGCGGTTCCTTTCAGAGAGAGGCTCCCTCGTAATTTAGCTCAGTGCTGTGTAGCTGCTGGAAACGGGCGTCGAAGCTTTATATATAGCTGCTAATATATATAATCGGAGGAGGGGAGTTAATCGTGCGTAGACAATATCGGGAGCTGTCATTCACCAGGATATTTATTGCGATTTCGGAGAACCGCCCTTTCAGCAAACAACAGTTCAACAATTTATTACGCTGTGTTTTATAAGAAATAATCTGATAAAGGGATAATATATTTTTTATGAATACCTAAAATTTGTTTTAGTTAATCTGATAAAATGACTTACCATCTTTGGGTGCATAAATGTTAAGGTTAAGACAGTCTTCGCTCTGAGGCTTTAAAAAAGCCGTTATTTTCTTCAGGTACTCGCGACGTCCAGCTGAGATGTTCATTTTATACGGGTCAGGAACTATCTAAAACATAATATAAGAATTATGCGATCGTTTGAATGCATTATGTCACGGAGAGGGTTTTGTTTCGCCGTTTATCAATATTAGTATTGTAATGTAACCGTTCCTCGTTGGTTCCCTGAGATCTAGAGACATTTATTTGGAAAAGTATTGAAAATTGTAGATCACTGGAAGCAGAATCCCCATGAAATTGTCTGAAAAGATTTATAAGTGTGCCAGTTATTCCCCTTCTAGTTGAAGTTTCAATATATAAGAAGTTTAGGATTTCCTAGGCCGAGTTTATTTGGCGTAAATATTATTCCCCCTTCTCACTAAATATGTTCCATATTAACTGACAGCCTCCTTTGAATTTGCGTCATGTTTAAATCAAAGTGTAATTAATTTACATTAATACAATGAATACTTGTGTTCGTATAGAAGAAGTAATCACGAAATCTGCTAGTACGAATTTGATCAAATTTTTTAGACGCGATTCTTATGATCAAAGGGACTACACACATTTTGTCATGTTATTAGTGTGGTATCAGGTAAAGATGGAATTTTGTGTGTTGCTAAGCAACGCAAAGCAGTTCAGCGTAATTGCCAACTGCAATAGGAAAGGTGGGGGATGTTTGCTGAGAAGGAGACGCCTATACAATATCATGTCGCAGACATACACAGGTGAATTAAAACACGCCGTCTACCGTTTTAAACAGCAAAGTTCTTTGAGCTAAAAGTGAAGTGAAGGGACTAGAACCCGATATCAAGCGAACAGATCCACAATGGGGGCAAACAAAGCGCGATATCATGCTCATATCTGAATAGGTTAACAGTTGTGTCAAAACACAAAATTTAAACCGTTTTCATTATTTCACAGTAATGGATTATGTGCGATACGTAGCATACTTGGCTTAAAACCTTTTGATTTAAAAACGAATTAAAATTATCATAACCAACATTTTTTACATGTAAATTAAATATAATTTTATCACAATTAATTAAGGTTTTTAGTTGAGATAAAAAAGTCAATGGCATGACCGGGATTCGAACCCACGAACTTCGGCTAGATAAGTCGCTGCTCTACCACTTGAGCTATCTTGTGCTCGATCCACTCGGACACTAACTTCCCATCTCAACCCTACTTTTGAATATTCCCTCTTTTTGGCCATTTTTCAAATGTCCTATAATCCATTTGATTCTCGGCGACAAATGAAATGGCCACGGAGAGCTTTAGTGAAGGCATACTTCATTTTAACTTATTAAATTCACAAGTTTTCGTGGTTCGCTTGACCAAATAATATCTTTCAATTAATTAAGGTTTTTAGTTGAGATAAAATCATCATTTGTCGCCGAGAATCAAATAGATTACACGACATTTGAAAAATGGCAAATATGGGGGGAAAATTCAAAAGGTGGGGTTGAGAAGGGAAGTTAGTGTTCGAGTGGATCGAGGTCACGATAGCTCAAGTGGTAGAGCAGCGGCGTATCTAGCCGAAGATGGTGGGTTCGAATCCCGCTCATGCCATTGACATTTTTATCTCAACTAAAAACCTTAATTAATTGTAATATATTAATTGGTCAAGCGGACCACGAAATTAGTGAATATAATTTTATTGTTTATTTCATTCTAGAAGAGTGATTAATTGATAGGGACTAACAGCAATGTCCGCGACCGGTGTGGAGGGATTCGAGGTTCAGAGATCCTACATTTTTTGCCGGTGAATTCGAAAACCCAAAAATTGTCCGTTAAGAGGTTCCATTTTCAAACGAATAATTATGAAACGCATAGTCTGTATTAATATTTATTAACGGGTTCATGACATTCTGAGATGTGTAAAAATATGAAGGGTAGGGGGAAAAAACAATAAACTACGGGTGACGGTTAGTGGTTTTTTATAATTAGATGTAAATTTGGGGGAAATGGGCTAGAAGGTGCTTATAAATTAAATTTAACTTGACATATGTATAGCACTGCGTTGTGGAATATAAGGCTTAAAAACATTCATTTGTGGCAAAAGTCATATATTTATCCATATTTGCTTAGTGGTCATATTTGACCGTATTAATTGTTCAAATTAATTATTCTTTTTACCTAAGGTGTTTGGCTGAGATGAAAAATTATAAATTGATGAAAATATGATAATCTTAGGTGAAAAAAATTGAAATAATTAATATGTCAATTATGACCGTTAAGTAAATATGGATTAGTTTAATAATTAAAAATAATTAATTATTTCACTAACAGCTACCCATGGCCAATTCAAAAGTCGCTGTGGATCGAATCCTCGTTACATAACATTTAAAAATATGGCAAAAATTGGAAAAATTCGAAGGTTGTAGATTGAGATGGAGATTTGGTGTCCGAGGAGATTGAAGTCACGATAAATCAAGTGGTTAGAACAGTCGCCTGTTGACATCTAGGTCGTGAGTTCGAATCCCGCTCGTGACACTAATTTTCCAACTCAACCAAAAACCTTAGATAAAAAGAATAATTAATTACATGTCTGTTTAAAAGTCATTAAACTTTTCAAGATGGAAAATTAAAATGTAAATATTGTGAAACCAAAGCTGAAATAACTAAACTTTCAAAAATATCTAATTGTTCTGAAGGGTGTGAAGTCTTGTAAATGAAAATCATATAATTCATTTGATAAACTTAATTATAAACTTTTTATTAATAATTTTAATATTTTTAACGAATAAAATGCGATTTTTGTTAAACACATGAAAAACATTATAAACTTGACTGACTATGACTTCAGGATAATAAACAGTTCGATGCAGTAGAGTGTAATTACGTAAAACCAATATTATGCTATAAAAAGGAAGTCAATTCTGGTATAAAACAAGAAAAATAACATAAACTGTCGGTACTTCGTCAAGAGTATAAGCAGATCAAGGCAGTTAAGTGTAAATAAGTAAAACCAATATATTCTAAGAAAATCAGATCATTTTTGATGAGGACTAAGAAAATACGCTATAAATTGTTGATGCAATATAATAAGCAGGCCATATTTTTTTAGCTCTGTACGATTTCCCAAACAAAACGTAATACATTTGGCATCGCTTTTATTAATATTCTAAACAATGTTTTGTACTTTTCTGATAATTTTTGGTTTAATTGTTTACTGAGAGACAAAATAAATTTTAGATCTGGGATGATATAAAAAATCTAATCGAACCGAGCCTGACAAATTTTGACAATCCGTAGATGTGATTTAGCTTAAACATTTTAGCGAATATCCTCGACTCATCATTCTACTGGTAATGACATGATAATTTACTTATTTTGTACCACACATAAGTTATGAGGTATCTTTAATATTTGTACACAATTTTTTTTAAACTAAATTAAGAATAATGTAAAAAATAAGAAACATTTTCCTTCTCTAACTGTTATTGTGACAGATACATCAGATGTTAAATTGAATTAAATGTGGTCCGAGGGGATTTCCAAGCTTAAGAACAAGAAATAACGAGAGAGAAAAAGAACAATTTAATGAAACTCTCAACGCTAAGCAAAGATTGCGACACAGAAAATAATGAACATTCGTTGAAAAATAGCACGGTTTTCAGACAATTGTAGGCAAATTGTTGAATTTCATCACTGATACTCTTAACTTGACTTAGAAAATATTATAATTAGGATGAATCTTTTATTTTAGTAGTGAGATGTTTTATTGACACCTCAGTTGCTGGTTTATAGACAATTAAAGTGCCTAATGTCAAGTTTGTGGAAAGGTTCGGTTTATCAGAAAACGGGAAAAAGCATATCGATAATATTCTTATTACTAGTATCTAAAGAATTACTTTAAGGATCTAAAAGAAATACATCATATAAACACTACACTTTGATCATAGCCTTTAGCCTTCTCCCGGATCATCAGTTAGGCTTTCGTCCCCACCATTCCACATCTTCCTTCAGGGCATGGGATATTGAATAGGAGCCTTTCTTGATGTGACATATGCGTTTGACCGCGAGTGGCACAATTGTCTTGTGTACGAAATAAAGCATGTCCTATCAAATACACTTTATTCCTTCGCTCTTAACTAACAGAGCGGTCTGTAGGGTCTGCGAAGTATCAGATTACTCCGAATACTGCTCTCTGGAAATGGGAGCACCGCAAGGCAGTGTGCTCCGACCTATCCTCTGTATACTTTACACTCTACATGGATTCACTACACTACCACCTCCATTCATCTTTTGCCGAAGAGACAGCTGTACTATTCTTTAACGCCGATCGTGCAGTTGCTTCCGAAGATCTGAACAGACATATCACATGTATTGAAGACTGGTGTAGATAATGAAAAACGGAGATGAATGAAAGCAAGTCCGACCATACCTCCTAAGCAAATATTCTCTCACAATGTACTACAACTATGTTCCTACCCCAAAATTCGACTGCATTCATTTCCTTCAGTTCAGGCTAGATTCACGCTATACATATGGAATCGGACCGTGGGGAACCGTTAAACCTTCCAACATCCAACCCTCCAATCATTTGAAACTAAAAATATTTAGTCTCAAATGATACACACAAAGATCTTAAGATTCCATTTATCTCAAAATTCACCAAATTCCCCAAAAACACTCTCCCTGCAATTCAGTAGTTTTGCCCGACCCCTTTCTAACAGAACTTATCCCTACAATCACATAACGCCTCTCGAGAGGAAATGACCATGTGACCCCCCTCTCCTAGAAGTCGGTAGTGAAGTTTCATTAGTGAACTGAAGTAAAAGAATAATATAGTTTAATTTCTCTCTAGTTTTATATATACATATATTCAAATAACATGTTTTAATTAGAAATTTCAGAATAATAAAATAAAAAATGTACGTGAAGAAGTAGTACGCATTGTAAAAATGAAACATTTACCGACACTGTTTTTGAAAGTTTTAATTTAATTTCATTTTTAAATTTTAATTTTTTTTATTTGCGCATAAGGCAGTTTGTTACCAAAATTGACAGTTCAGTTTACACAACTAAGTTAAGTAGGTCGCCGACTAACGAATTTTTTACTTTT